CCATAGACACCTGCGGTCCAGAGTTTTGCAAATATCTCAGCAACGTTGTGATTGCTTAGAAAGCTCTTTCTCTGTAATTGTGCGACGCGTGGTCAACATTTATTCCCATCATTTAGGACGTGAAATGTTTTTTCAAATCGTAGTTCGCGGTAGACTTTAGCCAGTTGCTAGAATTTATAGAGGCTTCTACATGTGATTGTATAAGCCAAATAGAAATCCTGTTGCATATATGATACTGACTAAACTCTAGCGCGTAAGTTGTGGATTAATGCCTGAAACAATATTTCTTTCCTTCAGATTTGGGATACAAGATCGGCGTCATTTGTCGGAGTTGTCCTCCATGGTCCAAGGTTTGCTACAATATTTACTACTTTTTACTTCCTGTTGCTTACTTACGTGTTTTTCACGCAGTAATTTTTTAAATGTGATCCTTGTCCTTGATAAACCATCATAGAAATGAATATGTATTTCGTTTTCAACCTCTTTAAAAATGGAATTCAAAAAAGCCGAATTGGTCGACATTTGGATAACCTGTGGCTTCACCGTTGAATCAGTAATGAGCTGAAATTCTCCATTCTTTTTGGCTATCCATTTGAGATATCGAAATTCTTTCGAACCAGGTTCTTTTTAAACACTTTGTTTTACATGACACATCTTTAACATCCACTCTGTGGATCTCTGTTTCTGTGGAATTCTCGCATTCTGTTCTTTTCCTCTCATCCATTATCCCCGAAACTCCTCCAACATGTAGCTTCGATCGTCGTTAAATGTCTTTGAGTGCTGCTCGAGGCGATTTTCCGTGCAATTCTGAAATAGCCGGGTTAGACCGCTCCCATTTGGATTGCAGAGTGAAATTTTTGCAGACAAGCCCAGTACCAATTTCCTGACCCCGGAGGGATGAGAGGCTTAGTGACCTCGGAGCGGGTCGCACCAGCACCGTGCTGGTATCAGTGATTATTGGCATCTCTTCCACTGCCCCACACAACCTTCTTTGTTACTTTAAATATTTATCTCTATCAATCTACTTGCTCTACGTTCTAATCGCTGGCATTTTTTTTGTGTTTTTCAAGCGAAATTCTTCAGACGACACAATTCACCCACATAATGTTGGTCACGCAGTTCTTCCTACATCGGTGGAGAACGATTCGTTGAACCTTGTGAATCCAGTCGGTCATCCTGTATCAACAGTAAGTTTGACCATGTTTTCGGCTGATAGGTTTTCCACGTTGAAGTACTAGGTAGAGGTTTTACTTATAAACGCAGTGCATTTTTTACTGAAGTTTTTATTTGAGAATACTGGGTGTCCTAATTCGTCGTCTTCTGGTCTCGTTGTTATTCCATCTTCAACCAACGAAAGTGATTGCCAGGTTTGCTCATCTTACCTTAACCACTATAGTCACATATTGGAAATCTGTGGACTTTTGTGGGTATGAATATTTGGGTTGTATACGGTCTTTCAACAACAGGAAACAACCGGAGTAGCGGAACCAAGTGGGCCAGTCGTTCGTTGTTTCAGTTGTTCAAATGTCTGCATAAGTGCAGTAGATACGGCAGCAATCAAGGTTGGAGTTGTTCCACATCCAGTTTGTCTTTGCATAATATGGGCCCTTTTAGAACCACTGTGCTTTGCATGCAGCAATGGAAGGTCGCATGCTGTGTTCGCTTTATATTCATAGAGCAGCTGATAGACCACTAATTTGCCCGTTTTGTCACTGTGAGGTGAATGTGTATAAACCGATGGAATTTCTGCACCATCTTCAAGGTGAGCCTTTTTTCATCCTCATTATGGTTTTTGTCTTTCAATTTGAATATTTTGCTTACCATTGCAGCAAAGCATATGGACAAAGCTCGTATTATATATGATCGTTACCTCTTCCACTATTTTCCGCAACAAAAGGTCTTCCATTTTCAGTTTCTTTTGTTGAATTTTATGTCTCATGCCAGCTTTTACTTCAGATATTTGGTGACCACTGTTCAACACCATCTAAGGCAAAAGACGGTTCAGTGTGCAATAGTGACTTCCTCGTTTGCTGCCAGCGGTCAAGCAGTTGTGGCGTTAACCCGGAATGTGTTTACTACATTCTTTGCTGATATCACCCGTTTGATAGTTTTTATTACTAATTTTATTCTACAGGTCGTTGTATTACCGCACGACAAAACCATTGCTTCATCAGATGTTGATATTGCAATTGTGAAACATATTTTATGGCACGTTCGCAACGATTCATTCTTGGTATGGCCCTATTGGAACATTTCTGCCCTCTGTTTTGCTTTTTGTCATCTCACGAAGGTGTTTTGTTTTATCACCTGCTTTTGAGGAGTTGGAGCTACGAGAACGAGAATTGCTAACTCGAGCTTTGATGATCCGTTTAACATCGTCACATACGCGGCAAGTGCTATTGATGGCGAAAAAGATCGCAAAACAATTTGATAGGTTAAACTCGAGTTTTTGTCTTCTTTATGGCCTGATTTTGTGCGGACGTTTCCAATTTTCGTTAATTTCTACTTCTCTGAACTAATTCAAGCTCTTCAGGGAAAAAGAGGAAGACGTCGTTAAGTACTTGAAGGAGAAAATCGACGAGATTGGTTGGATTCTCTTTGGTACAAATAAAGGATTCGTTTACCAGGCGAGGCTATTCATCATATTCCGAGCACGATGAAATTGGTCCTTGAATACTATTTTCTCTTTGCTTAGATGGTGTTTACTCGTCGTTTCGTGCGGGATCAATGTGGTATGCAGATATATCCACCGTGTGTTTGCCGCATTTGTGTTGACAAGGAATTGCCACGCTTTTCGGTCCGAATTCACGTTTCCTCCTGTTGACCTTTGACCTTGGTTTTTTTTGAATAGGCAGAAATGTTTATAGAGTGATCGTAGGAAACGAGCGTTTGTCGCATACGCACATCCTGTTGTTGTCCACATTTTGGAACACCTCGGTTCTGGTGAACTGTCAGAGAAAGTTCGTTGTCTATTATTTAATTCGTTAGATTTTCCATATTATTTTATTTTTATTCGAAGTTTTATAGTACATTCCTGAGTATTTGAATATCTCCACTTCTGAACGATTTTACGTGCTATGAGATGCTTTTTTTTTGGTTGTAGGGGATGTTTGCTGCTTCCTCTAGCAAAAAATATGGCAGTGGCGTAGCCTTCCCTGTTTAAAAACACAGGAGGTCTTTAGCGTTTATGTTTCAATGGAGGTTCTGCCACACTAATGTTTGATTTATTTTAGAACGACGACTAATCATTTTGTAAGCTTTCTTTGATTAGGAGTACGGTTGGGAATGTTAAGCATCTTCTCGGATTGGATTACACTCTGATGCTTTACTGCGTCGTTAATACACAGATTCGCCTTCTCTTAGTGAAGCTGTGAATTTGTAAGACTTGCTGAAACGCCAAGTTATAAAGTATAGACCTTCGTTGCGTGTGGTCGAGTGACTTTACAGCGCGCTGAATCACTCGTTAATCGCGTTCACTTGCTGCGATTGCCCAGTGTTTGCTATTAGCTCGATGGCACTGAGAATGTTACATTTCTGTTTTAGGCCCTTCCTAAAGAAATATAACCATGAAATCTCAAGAGAAACCACAAATAGTTTTTTCAGCTTCCAATTATAGATCAAATCAGCAACGGATTCTATGCGGTGGAAGAATGCTTGCAAAATAGATGGGTTGTTTTTCAAAAGTCCTTCGCTGGCAATTAAACACGTTTTGGACGCGCATAATGACCTTGTTGAGCTAAGGTTAGTCACTAACTACTTAATCGATTTATTTCATTTTTAATACAACGAATCTATTCCTGCTTGCAGTGCTTTGGATATGGTCTTAGAAGATAATGGGCTGTTCGAGATTTTTCGCGATGCGTTGTCAGTAGTCTTCGGTGACCAAGCGTGGCAATTAGAGGAATGTGTACATTTGTATTTATCCTTTTTCATGTTTTTGTAGTAGGAACTTTTTATTTTTCAACAATGCCACACTTTGAATTTGGTTTGCCCGTCTTCAGGAAGCACTTGGGTTTAAAGGTTACGAGATGAAACAGTGTCCTAAGGCGAATTTTTTGAACGATGAGTCAAATGGTAGGTGTAGAGTTTATGCTATGCTCGTTATAAACTTAAACTGGCCACATAGGTGTTAATCACCGACCCGATTGTCTCCATCCTTGTGATCCATCTACGTCTTGTGAATATGCTGACAGTGTTTTATCACAAAGCGAAGCATTGGGAGCGTCAGCCGCCTCATCTTCTCAGTGTTTTAAGTCCAGAATTAAGGCGTGAGTAAGAACTGTTTCGTCATATGGTTGAAAAGCAGTTTTATTTCGTCATTGGTTAGCTAACGATATGGGTGCGATTTTGTGCCTTATTCTTCAGTGTGTGCCACGGGATGCCAGAAGCTTCTGCTGTTTGTTACGAGGAGTTTTTACATGAATCTGAAGTGCATAACGATGCAGAAGACTCTTATATTAGGACTGCTGAGGAGGCTTCGATGGTAGATGCGATGACTTCGCGGTCATCACTAATTTTGCCGTCGACTACCGCCTGTATAAACTCGACTGGTTCGTTGTACCATATCTCGGATTGTAAAGTTATCGAGTTTTCTTTCCTAATAACCGTATATAATAGCTACCTACTTTTATATCATTTTTACATTTTTATGCAGCATCTCAAATACTTTTTTCACACATTTTTACCTTGCTAGTGAAATAGTTGAAATTGACTAATTAATTTTGGCACCTACTGCTGTACCTTCGGTTTCGGTTAAATTGGAAGAGTCTGAGGGAAGTGATTTCAATAGCTGGTCTGCAGAAGTGGAGAGCAGTTCCTATTTGCCAGCAAATTTCTTGACTATTAGCGATCCTCTCTTGCACAGGAGGAAAACGGAGCCGAAGGTATGTTTGGTTGCAGTGCATGAGAAACTCAAAAGTATTTAAACCTCTATTAAATATCCAATCTCTTTTCCAGAGGAAGAAAAAGACAGCTAGGCGAATAAAACAAAAGCCGTTGATGGAAATAAAACGTGAACACGATGGAGCAATTCTTACTAGGAGAAATGCCGCCCTTCCGCTTAAGGTGAAGCCAGAATGCTCTACACGAAAACAGGAATGCTACATTTATTAAGCAGAGACATTTAGAATGTCATTCAAGGATCAAAGACAGTGGCAGCGGCACTTGTAGCCGCTTTGGGTACTGCAAGCACTAGCACTGATGCTTCTATCCAACCCCGAAATCCCATTGCAGAAACACAAGATGGTTACATCTCGGACTCAAGGTGACGGAAACAAAGTCGTTTTCATTATAGCGAAGAAAGTGTTCATTTGATGGTGACATGTTTGTCCATACGTTATGGTTTTGAATTTAAAATCAATCATTCATTTCCTTTTGGTTCCTTCCTTCCTTCCTTATTTTCTTGTTCGATTTTTCCTCTTAAGTTTTTGGCAAAGTCACACTTATCGGAAAGACCACAGGGCGCGTGTGGCTCAATGGTCTAAGGCAACACACACATGCGATCGATCTCCGCGCCCAGGGACGACCCAGTCTTTCATCCCTCCGGGTTCGGCACATTGGTACCAGACTTGTATGGCAGGACAGCATTACTCGCTCGATACATCGGTAGGCCACCGCGATAAAGGCCATATATGCATTCAATCACCTACAAACGATACCTAATGAAGTTGAATGTATGGCGCATCTCACAAGGATTGGTCATCGCCTGGAGCTTTACCCGTTTAGAGCTTTTATTGATAATGATTAACAGGTTTTGTTGAAGTAAACGTCATATTTTGACATTTGTTGGATGTTTTACGATTTAGGGATGAAGAGGAATCCGATCTCGCATTAGGCAACATTTCTAAGAGACCTCGTCTGCTGGTAGGTGGAGATGGTAGAGTCGACAGTGGTGGTGATATGTCTTCTCAAGCACATTTGTCAAAGCGTCGTATTCGAGTTTCATCGGGCCTTAGCAAAGCAGTGTCACCCAAGATGCCAGTGAAGAAATGATTACGTCAAGAAGTTCTTGCATTCCCGCTGATGAAATAGTTTTTGCTATTGCTTTGTATTCATTCTGAATCGATCGTCCAATGGTAAGGTTGTATCAGAATTGCTTTTTGATCTTCCACTTTCCACATCCATTCTGTACTGACGTACTTACATGCAGGGTATAGATCGTTATCTCATGTATATCGCTTTTTCTTACTATTTTGATTTGTTATATATTTTTCTGTGTATTAATGTTGTGAGCAATATGTTTATATAAAGGGATGGTTTTCTTTCCATTTTATTTTCTCCATTTTTGTTTTTCATTTTATGGTACGAGACATTTTGCTTTTATCCTCGGTAATCTCCTAACGGTTTACCGCGTTATCATGGCTGGGAGGTGTTCCTAGGTGTCGGACTGCGGTGTACAGCGGTAGGATTCGTCCTCCCAGTAGGTCTCCTAAACTGAGAAGTAGTCCGGCCAGCGTTCTCATTAGGAAGCCTAGCTAAGAGTGGACCGACCACCGTCCTCGTATCAAAGTCGGATGGTGGCAAATCTCTGATCCACAAGAGCTGCGAGTGTCTGTCGTGGTGACGACCTGGGACAGACTTTGGCCAGGCTGTACCCGGGGTTCCAGAGGCTCACATTGGTTTAACCAGCAAATCTCCGAAAAATGTTGGTTATGCTGGGGCCAGCACAACTAGTGATGACGGGTCGTTCAAGTATCAGGTAAGTGTGTAAGTATTTTGATTTTACTGTCCTTAACGGAATTATAGTCGAGTGTAAGCCTATGTGCTCAGTAAGAAGTACTTTTGTAGATAACTGCCACGACCGACTTCTCATTAACCTCGGCATTGATCAAGTGATTTTCTTCGTATTTCTGTTGAGCAAACGCGAGGTGTTACTATTCTTTGTTCACGATTAAGCTGACGTTTCGGCGGATTTCGCCATCCTCAGAGCCGCTTTCTATGAGGTTTCCACCAAGTATGTCACGCAGAGACCAACCGCACAGAAATCACATGGAAGTATAAGTAGAATAGTAACACCTCGCGTTTGCTCAACAGGAATACGAAGAAAATCACTTTTGTAGATAGTTTCTCCCACTGCACATATACTACATAGGTAACACCGTTGGGGCTCTAGGGACTCGGATAGCACTGTGTCTATCTCCTACGATCATCATGAAAAAATCTGCCATCCGGTGCTGGTGGTAAGCTCTTCTGTGAAATGGTTTCTGCAAAGAGTTATGATGTGTGTTGCCCACTTGACTATTCACATCTTGGAGTGGGTGGAGGGTACTTTTCGATCGTTAGCTTGTAATGGAACTTTTGGTTCCCTTCTCCACGTCTGTGAAATGGTATTCTCCTGGCGTATAGATCCCGAAGACACGTGAGTTAACCCGAAATGGTGTTTCGTGCTACTTAAGCAGTACGCTGGCTTCTTAATATAAGAATCTCCCGTGGTAATACATTGTAGTGGTGGTTGCGAAAGATGCACCAATATTGTAGTGACCGTTGCCACTAGTCACTCACTATTTCGTAGTAGTTCAGTGATGTAATACTCAGTTGTACTGAATATTAGATAGTGTAGAGTCTACCGACTAGTTGTTACCGCCTCTGCTTGACTCTCAAAGGTGAATCCGTATCGTAATCCTTACTATTTGTATATTTGATAGTTCAGTAATATATCTTTGCCTGTTGACGTTTAGGAGGCTGTTAACCGAGAAACAAGAAATAGAAAATTCCTCCCGACGGCTTACCGCACCATCGTGGCTGAGAGGTGTTTCTGGGTGTCGAAGTGCGATGTACAGCGGGGGATTCATCCCCTGGCAGGGTCTCCCAAATTGAGAAGGAGTCCGGCCTTCCCATCACGAAGCCTAGCTAAGAGTAAACCAATACGAGGATCCGCCACCGTCTTAGTATTAAAGTAGCATGGCTGTAAATCTCCCTCTGATCCATTGAGATTTGCGCTGTTTGAAATTACCTATTATGAAAGTTTCACGCCGAGTGGTGTGTTTCGCTTTTGTCACTCGATGGCTTCTTAAAGCAATTTCCTCTCAAAAGTGCACTTCTAACAACGGGATATTTTCGACTGTGAATTTCTTTATTTGTGGGAAAGGCAGAATTTTATGTGGCGGCGACACAAATGAGATAGTGGGAACCTAATATAAGCCGTGAAACCTAAGCAATTCTTCCACCCTTCGAATTTTTTAAAGAATTCGCCTTCTCGTAGTTCGAGCCCCTCCAAAATTCCATATACATTTTGTTCCAGTAACCGATTCCCAACCATGGGCTTTCCGATAGCATAATCTGCCACAAACCTCCTTGTCGCTTCGAAGAGTTTCACTTAGACTTCAACAGATCGGGAACATTCTAAACTCTTGGAAATGTAAAAGAACTGCAAAAACCTCTGCCACTCTGACGTAACTGTTCTACAAGGTGCTGATCTTCGAGTACTTGTTGCCCTGTGAACGGTCGGTTGCGGAAAATGTAAACCTTATTTTCAGTCAACTCTATAGTAATTGCTTAGATTTTTAGGAGCCAGAAATGAAAAGTCTTACCCACGTGGTGCGACTTCCGGCGCTTCTAATTTCCCTTCTAGCCACGGTCTCGACAGTGATTGGATGTGGAGTAATGCCACCAGGGCAATGTAATCAAAGTTTTAAAGTTTCGGAGCCCTGTATACGGAAATATTTTCAATCATTTTATACCACCTATACAAATGGTACAGAAACTAGAAAGCTGAATTGTTGCCAAAAAACTGAAGATCGTCTTCTTTATTCATCCGAAAACAGCGAAAAAAGCTTTAAATCTAGGAATTGTGAACTCACTGCTTGCATTACAATACGTGTTACAAATGCCTGTGCTCCCATCATGCTGGTTGCAATGCCGGGAACCTGGGCTGGGACATTGGGTGCGGTGGAGAAGACCATGGCCACAGGCAAGGTAAAACCTCTCACGTTGAAGGTTCTAGTGCTTGCTGCAACGAAATTTGGTTGCTTTTGGAGTTGAAAAACAATAATGAGCGGGTGTAACAAAGGGTGACGCCAAAATAATATTTGCTGGAAACCAAACCATTCTGTTCTGCCTATTTCTCAGCGTTTCTTTCTTCTTCATCATCTGCTGTTAGAATTTGTAATTTTGAAATCATAATGTTCTTATCAAAAATTACAGATTATGAAAGCTTTTGGCCTAAAANAGCAATTCTTCCACCCTTCGAATTTTTTAAAGAATTCGCCTTCTCGTAGTTCGAGCCCCTCCAAAATTCCATATACATTTTGTTCCAGTAACCGATTCCCAACCATGGGCTTTCCGATAGCATAATCTGCCACAAACCTCCTTGTCGCTTCGAAGAGTTTCACTTAGACTTCAACAGATCGGGAACATTCTAAACTCTTGGAAATGTAAAAGAACTGCAAAAACCTCTGCCACTCTGACGTAACTGTTCTACAAGGTGCTGATCTTCGAGTACTTGTTGCCCTGTGAACGGTCGGTTGCGGAAAATGTAAACCTTATTTTCAGTCAACTCTATAGTAATTGCTTAGATTTTTAGGAGCCAGAAATGAAAAGTCTTACCCACGTGGTGCGACTTCCGGCGCTTCTAATTTCCCTTCTAGCCACGGTCTCGACAGTGATTGGATGTGGAGTAATGCCACCAGGGCAATGTAATCAATGAAAGATTACTTTGCTTGTACAAACAATTGCAATTTTTAATACATAGTTCTGAAACTTGTTAAATTAAATATATCTAAAACTTGAAGGTTTTAAAGCTTTTAGGCCAAAAGCTTTCATAATCTGTAATTTTTGATAAGAACATTATGATTTCAAAATTACAAATTCTAACAGCAGATGATGAAGAAGAAAGAAACGCTGAGAAATAGGCAGAACAGAATGGTTTGGTTTCCAGCAAATATTATTTTGGCGTCACCCTTTGTTACACCCGCTCATTATTGTTTTTCAACTCCAAAAGCAACCAAATTTCGTTGCAGCAAGCACTAGAACCTTCAACGTGAGAGGTTTTACCTTGCCTGTGGCCATGGTCTTCTCCACCGCACCCAATGTCCCAGCCCAGGTTCCCGGCATTGCAACCAGCATGATGGGAGCACAGGCATTTGTAACACGTATTGTAATGCAAGCAGTGAGTTCACAATTCCTAGATTTAAAGCTTTTTTCGCTGTTTTCGGATGAATAAAGAAGACGATCTTCAGTTTTTTGGCAACAATTCAGCTTTCTAGTTTCTGTACCATTTGTATAGGTGGTATAAAATGATTGAAAATATTTCCGTATACAGGGCTCCGAAACTTTAAAACTTTGATTACATTGCCCTGGTGGCATTACTCCACATCCAATCACTGTCGAGACCGTGGCTAGAAGGGAAATTAGAAGCGCCGGAAGTCGCACCACGTGGGTAAGACTTTTCATTTCTGGCTCCTAAAAATCTAAGCAATTACTATAGAGTTGACTGAAAATAAGGTTTACATTTTCCGCAACCGACCGTTCACAGGGCAACAAGTACTCGAAGATCAGCACCTTGTAGAACAGTTACGTCAGAGTGGCAGAGGTTTTTGCAGTTCTTTTACATTTCCAAGAGTTTAGAATGTTCCCGATCTGTTGAAGTCTAAGTGAAACTCTTCGAAGCGACAAGGAGGTTTGTGGCAGATTATGCTATCGGAAAGCCCATGGTTGGGAATCGGTTACTGGAACAAAATGTATATGGAATTTTGGAGGGGCTCGAACTACGAGAAGGCGAATTCTTTAAAAAATTCGAAGGGTGGAAGAATTGCTCAGGTTTCACGGCTTATATTAGGTTCCCACTATCTCATTTGTGTCGCCGCCACATAAAATTCTGCCTTTCCCACAAATAAAGAAATTCACAGTCGAAAATATCCCGTTGTTAGAAGTGCACTTTTGAGAGAAAATTGCTTTAAGAAGCCATCGAGTGACAGAAGCGAAACACACCACTCGGCGTGAAACTTTCATAATAGGCAATTTCAAACAGCGCAAATCGCAATGGTTTAAGCGCT